TGCAGCATGAAAAGAAATGCATCATTTGACTGATTGCAAATCTGTAGGCTTTGATTGAAACATATTTTGAATCTATTGTGGCAATGATATGGAAAAGAGTATTTATGATGTGTTTTGGAGAAAACTATCCATAAGAAAATATCAGATTGTAATTGCATAGAATAAAAATATAATCATCAGCAGGTTTCAAATCTGCAAAGTCCAAGAGACACAGATTTTAACTCTGGTGACAACTTGACTGAGACCAATGAAAATCGATGTCTGAGATACTGTCTTTGAGAAAATGTTCAAGACATGTTCTCATAGAAAAAATGTGACATTCAATGGGTTTCAAACCTGTTGCATTCCAATAGAAACAGATTTTGATTCTGTTATGACAACCACTCGGTGTTATGACTGGGGTCATTCTTCTTCACTAAGACCGAATGGTCTCTTTTAGCAAAGCAGTGTTCTTCCTATGAGTATAGGTTCAGAGTATTCGACTAAGGACAGTGACGCTGACTGCCTTAGAATAGTGTTTCAAGACTACTAAGGTAGATCCCTTAGTAGAGCGGATGCTCCAGGTAAAACCTAGTAGATTAAAGTGAGGAAACAACATGATAACTACTGTGCTTAAATAGTCCATATGGAGCACATAGACCAAGCTGAGAATGGTAGGTATACAAGTACATATGGGGATATCAAGAGATAAGGGCTGTGCATAAAAGATGGAAGGGCAATAAAGGCTACGCATAGGAACGATATCGGTTGCCAACACGATAAAAGATCTTGGCGATGAGATGGACAATATATTGGAAGGTGATTGGTCTCTGTATAGTAGTAACAGACAGTGACCATTGTCCAGTGATAGGAGAATAAATGGGGGTGTACTTTGACCATAACACTCGGTCAAATACAACTTTGATCAGCTTGCAAGCAAACCAATCATCAGCATATTTCAAGATGTAATTTCATATTAAAAAAATGTCACAACTGGCAGGTTTGAAACCTGCATGGTCCAAGAGAAACAGATTTTGACTCTGGTGATCACTTGACAATAACATCTTTAGCAGGTTTTGAACCCACACAGACAGATTTAGATTCTGTTGTATTAACTGCTTGCCTAAGACCAGTTAGATGCATCCCTAATGGACTCATTCATAAGTGAATCCTCAAGGCATATTTATCTGCATTCTGTCAGTTCTTTCAATAATATGGTCGCCGTGATTTTTTTTTTAAATTCTACTCTTATCGCAAAAGACATCAGACTTCTTCTGGGCCTCAACTTCAAGACCTATTTATCCAGAAATTGCTTCAAAAATGTACAGATGGCAGACCACCATGGTGGGCTGATGATGTAATGTTAGAACTGACAAAATGCAGATAAACGTACCTTGAGGATTCACTTCTGAATGAATTCATTGGGAGTGCCATCCAACTGGTCTTAGCTGAGCAGTTGATACAACAGAATCTAGATCTGTTTTTGTAGGTTCAAAACCTGCTAAAGATCAAATTGCAAGTGATCATCAGAGTCAAAATCTGTTTCACTTGGATGGTGCAGGTTTGAAACCTGCCAACAATAACATTTTTGTTTTATGAGAATGCACCTTGACAGTTTGAAATCCATTGAATGCTTCATTTTTTGGTTTTTCTTGCAAGAAAGTCATAATAGGGGGAGTCAGAGTTGGTGATCCACACTTGATTCAAGAGCTGTTCTACATTGTGATCCATCATCGGTTTTTTCATTGATGGATCATGGGAACAGTGAATTACAGCTGGATCATTGGAATGCCTCCTGAGCCGCTCCATCTTTTGAATTGTGTTTGATTCTCCCCATCCCAGTAATTAAATTTGTTTTTATTTAAATAAATACATATGACAAGTCACTACTGCAAAATAACACTCGTCTCTGAGTCCAACTCTAAACTTAATCAATGGCAAAAAAGGCCGCTGAGCAAGCTCCAGATCAAGCACCAAAGGCACCCAAGAACTCAAGGAAATGTCCGTCGAAGGCCAAAGGTAGTAAAAAGGCCAGCAAGAAAAAAGGAAATGCAAGTGATAGCGAGCTGCCAGTGGATAGCGATCATGATGGTTAGTCCAAACTTGAAGATAAGACTGATATTGAGTACGTACCTCCGAGTCTGGGCCAATTTTCACCTTTGTTTACCTATGACTCATTTGAGTCCAGCTGGACCCCAACAATGAGTGCTGCTCTCTGTTACGCACTCAAATAGATCTGTTATGCGGAGCCCTAAGAGGGGCATCATCCGCTAACGTTCATGACGTAACCGGAAGGATCCGGTATAGCAAGTGAGACTGGCGACGACGAGTCGGCAGTGATCACAGTATGCACGTGTCACGTGACTTCTAAGACGGATGTCTTTGAAGTCGCTCAAGGTAAGGACAGTCTTGTCCGAACGATGAGGTCGATCGAGGTAGACTTAGTCGCGATGAGCAACTAAGAAAAGATACTAGAGACTGAAGCCAAAGGGGCATTTAGAGGGAAGTATGTTCTAGGGAAGATTGAGTAGATTCAAGTTAGAGAATCTAGTACAGGGTGACCGACTACTTATACTAAGTGGAGAGGGTTAAGGGCAAGGCTACCTGCACAGTAGGTAAGGGTAAAGGGGAAACGAGAATGGTATAGGTGCGTTGGCAACAGAGCCGGATTAGTGATGGGTGGTCGAATGTGGAATGAGACCGATAAACGTTGGGATGGACCAACGGTACGAATACAACATGTGGGAATCCGCAGTCAGAAGGAGCAGAAAGAGGAAAGCCACATTGGTGGCACAAGTCAGACCGAGTCATAGGTACGGGACCACATTGGTGGTCGAATCAGAGGGAGGAACGTGCGTGCACGTGCGTAGAGGCGGGCGATGCGAGGGACGGGAACGGTCCCGAGGATCCGGTCAACGGAAAGTCGGTAAAGGAGGGCGAGCCGGTAGGTGGTGAGGGCAAGGACGAAGGGAAAATGATAGGGGGGCCACGTGACCGATGTTACTTGTAACACTCTCCTGTCTGCCATCATGGACGCCACAAATATCAAGCAAGGGCTATTTCCTTCACCTCGAGCAAATCCACGGACTGGTGGCAAGACAAAGGCAGTGTACCACTGGGCCATATGTGTCACACTGTTCAAGAACCATCCGGACTATCATACACCATTCTCGCATGCCATAACTCCCAAACAGAAAGGCACTTGGGCTAATAAGATTAAAAATTGAATCAAGAGGTAAGTGTCATCCTGATGGCATCAAGTGATGCGTGCACTTACTACTATATGGTCCTGCAGAATGTCCGAGATCACATGCAAGTACATGGACGAAATGGGCGAGACAGGTGTGGGCATAACTCAAGAAGACGAGATTAATATGGATGTGAAAAATTCATTTACAACAAAGTGGGGTGCGTACCTCTATGACAACCAGCTACCTACCGTTCAACATTTTTTTCATGCCAGCAATTATTAAAGAAGCATGCCCATGGTTCTTTGACATGTGGGAGCTTATAGCTGAGCGCCCAAATCAAGTTCCCGTTGGTCTCGGGCACAGTTAGATGGACTATGACATGTGTCATGAGTTCCAAATACGAATCATTATACCTTTCTAAATTTGAAGTCCTTTAAGCACACAAGTATAGCACCTGTACCTAAAGATAAACCTCAGAATGTATTTATAGTCGAGGAAGTGCCTACAGCGTCTATTGTAGAATTACCGAACTCCCCTATACCTAAATCATGTGAATTAACAGAAGAAGATGACATCATGCCATGTGACACTCTTGGAATGTTCCAGAGTCTTACTGCGGCTGCAACACATGTTATGACATCATAGCTATATATAGAATTGTATGTTACCTTTAATTATTCTCATTGGTTAGTTAGTTCATACTCAGTTTCAATCTCCGTTTCAATATGTGTATATAGGTAGTATGTCGTAGTTAGTAGTTCTTTAGTTCAAACCTCTTGTATCTCCAAGTGAGCAATCCAAGACATACCTGCTGCCTTATCCTCATTGTGATCTTTCTGTGTTTGAGTCCTAGTCTCTGCCCTGCATTAATTCATTTAAGGGGTTGTGACGTTAGGTTTGAACTATAGGAGACTCCGACTCTCACGTTACACTCTTGCACCTCTCTTTCTCTTGCTTGGCCGTGTTGGAATTCTCTCCACATTGTCAACCAAGACAAAGCCGTTTATTACTTTGCCCAGCTTAACTGCTGCGACCTTTGATTCAGAAACCTCTCCCCCTTGCTCATTTGAGCACATCTTCATACATATCCTTTCGTAGTTAGTAGTCCTCTACCAGGCCCTGTGTTACTACAGCCGCCAGTAGATGGAGGTGTTGATGACATTAGGCATCTCGCTACAACTTTGAGTGCTGGCCCAAGACCCTGCCTGCTCAATGTTACTATAGTTTCCTTTCACATATCTTTTCTTCACACATATGTAGGTGTTCGTTTCGAGTTTAGTGGAACTGCCTAGGCTCTATTTTTGGCTTTTGACCTACGAGGATTTAGAAACTCGTCCTAGTGAGACTCGCACGTGTAAGCTTCGGCTGGAAGCATGATAACTTGTCCTAGGCCTGTTCCCTCAGAACGGAGATTGCCTTAGACCCTAGTTTTTCCCACTTGATTGAGTATAGCTTCGATAATTTTCCTAGTTAGTAAATAGGGAAGATCAGTTGGGTTGATTAAAGAGCCCTTCTATCCTGAGTACATGGTAGATCCGATCAGATATTGGGGACCGCTCAGATTTCTGTTTACGTACTTCTTTTCCACTTTCTTTTTCATCATCTTTCCTTTTCGGAAGAGCCCTTACAAGCAGCTCTTCAAAAAACAAGACATCAGTGAATCGGGTTCCAGAACACAACTGGCACTATGTCTGAACCAACCTTTCCCCAGACGAATGAACAGTTCATGCAATTTGTCCACAATCAAATATGGGCAAATAGCGAAATCCTGCTCGGGAAGATTGCAGAACTAGAACACAAGAATCAGGAACTTGCAACCAAGAATGGAGACTTGGAATTACGTCTCAAAATGCAAGAAGACGAAACCCTGAAACTTGCTACACAACAACCATCGTTTGGATCTGCTGGAGCAACGATGCTCACATCCACCCCAAACATAAAATACGCTTAAACCTTCGGACTTCACTGGAGAAAAGGACTCCATTGATGCTAAAGTATGGGTAGCCCAAGTAACCCTCTACATGACACAATGGCCGACCATCTCAGACAAACAACGTCTCTCGGTCATGTTATCATTCATGAAGGGATCTGCTGGCAAATGGGCCTGGAAATATATCAGTGAACTCACAACACTGACAATAGAAAAATTCGATGAGGAGTTCACAGCAATGTGGGACCAAGAGGACCAAGAGGGCAAGGCAATCTGAGACTTGGAAGCTTTAAGACAAGGCTCCTCGTCAGTCCCAGAGTATGCAGCCGCTTTTAAACAAAAGGCTGCACACACATCATTTTCCGACTACAACCAACGCCAGAAGTTCAGGACAGGACTTCAAGATCGCATCAAAGTCCAACTTGCGCATGTGCCATACTCGGGTAAAGACACCCTAAAGAAGTTGATAGAGCATGCAATCCAAATTGGACGCAACTTCAAAGAGTTAGATGCAGACAAAAAAAAGACTACTTGGTGGATCCCGAGACAAGGCCCCAAGACTCCTGAATACAAGGCTGGTCCTAGTAAAGACAGTGACACCATGGACATCGACTCCGGCAGACAGAGGGGAGCTCCCAAGCCCCAAGGAAAGACTGGATCTTTCAAATGTTACCGCTGCGGAGAAGAAGGCCATATGGCAAGAAACTGCAAAGGCACGCCAAAAGTGCAGGTGAAGGCTACTACAGTGCCACAAGCAGATTCAATGCCATCTTGGTTCAAAGAATGGGCCAAGAAAGAAGGCAAGGATTTTTAGGAGGGTCAAAGTCAGGATCTGCGGATTTAGACCTGAACAATCATTTCTCCATCTTATCTACGTTTTTGGATGTATCAGAAGTATTTATTAGATCCAAATCTGAGCATTTTTACATTCTGATTTCGTTGAAAGGAAAGAACCAACAAGCAGACATGAAAGCCTTGGTAGACTGCGGTGCTTCAACATTATTTATTAGTGAGAAGTTTGTAAAGAGGAACGGAGTACACTGCTGTAAATTATTAAGACCTATTCTGGTGAAAAACATAGATGGCTCATTAAATGCCACTGGATCAATGACTCATTTCGCCGAGCTAAGCCTTAAAATCGGTGACCATGTCAAGGATAAAGCAGCCTTCATGGTTATGGACTTAGGAAGCGATGATGTTATTATTGGCATTGATTGGCTAAGATACCATAACCTGGAAATAGATTGGAATGCAGGACACTTCACATTATCTCGTTGCCCCGTTAAATGTAATACTAAAAAAGAACAAAGACAAAAAAATAGAGAAAAAAGAAAAGAACAAAAAAAAGACAGATAGTGTGCCAAATCTGATTCCCACAGAAGAGGATGATGAAGAAGACATGGCGATGAAAAGGGCAATGGTTGAGGAAATAGAAGATAAAGAGTATCCTAGAGAATGTATCAAATACAAAGCCTCAGTCGCCACAGAGCAGAAGGTTGCAGAAGAAGCAACAAAAGTGAAGAAGTTGGTTGAAGAAATGGTTTCTGACTGGCTTCACGAGTACCTGGGAGTTTTCTCAGAAGAAGAATCTGAACACTTCCCTGAAAGAAAGAAATGGGATCATGCGATAGATCTTAAAGATGATGGCAATCTTCCGCCAAATGCGAAACCATACCCCTTGTCACCCAAAGAAATGGACACTTTAAAAGATTGGTTACAAGCCAAAACTGCACTGGGACGTATTAGAGACTCACAATCTCCAGTAACAGCACCTTTCTTGTTTGTGGCCAAAAAAGATGGCAAGTTAAGACCAGTGATGGACTATAGAAAGCTCAATGAGAAAACAGTCAAAAATGTGTACCTGCTACCGAGATCTCAAGATTTAATTGATGCTTTAACTGGTGCCATGATGTATTCCAAGATGGATGTACGATGGGGATACAACAATATTCACATGAAAGAAGGAGATGAGTGGAAGGCGGCCTTCAAAACACCGTTTGGTCACCACAAACCAACCATAATGTACTTTGGGTTAACAAACTCCCCTGCCACGTTCCAAACTATGATGAACAAGATATTCAGAGATTTAATTTATGGAAAGACTGTAGTGGTCTATATCGATGATATCCTCGTGTTTATGAATGGCAGTAAGGAACAACACCAGAAGGTTGTAAAAGAGGTTCTTAAACAACTAAAAGAGAATGACTTATATTTGAAGCCTGAAAAATGTAGCTTTAAACAGTCTAAAGTCGAGTTCCTTGGGTTGATAGTGGAAAAAGGTGGTGTTTCGATGGACCCTGTAAAGGTAGAAGGAGTAATGAAATGTCCTGTTCCCAAATGCATCAAAGACATACAAGTGTTTATGGGTTTTGCCAACTTCTATTGAAGATTTATTCTTGGGTTTTCGGACATTGCCAGACCAATGAATGATTTGCTGTGAAAAGATGTCAAATGGGACTGGACGGAGAAGCAACAGAATGCCTTGGATGAATTAAAAAGGCAATTCACAGAAGCTCCAGTCTTAGTTATGCCGGACGTTGAGAAAAAAATGAAAATAGAAACTGATGCTTCCAACTATGCAACTGGAGCGGTTCTATCTCAACTGATGGAAGATGATTTATGGCACCCAGTAGCTTACTACTCGAAGTCGATGAACGATGCAGAACAAAATTATGACATCCACGACAAAGAGTTATTAGCAATCATTTGAGCGCTGGAGGAGTGGAGGCACTATGTGGAGGGAAAGCCCCAACATGTGGAAATCTGGACAGATCATAAGAACCTCGAATATTTCACGACAAGTCAGAAATTGACAAGAAGGCAAGCCATATAGAGTCTATTCCTGGCGGAGTATGAATTTACGCTCCAACATAAGCCTGGTGTAGTCAATGACAAAGCTGACCGTCTATCTCGGAGAGAAGACCACAGAGAGGGGGGTAGAAAACGACAATTCCAATTGCGTTTTGTTAAAACCAGAGTTTTTCACTGTAAAAGCTGCTAAAAGAGGTCAAGTTCTAGTGCAAGGAGAAAAGCAGTTGCTGAGAAAGATAAGGCAATGTACAGAACGAGAGCCTGAAGTCACTAAAGCACTAGAAACACTACAAGCAGCACTGGTACAACTATGCAGAGGGATTGAAGAGTGGAACGTGGAGGATGGATTGGTGTTGTTCTGAGGATTAGTCTATGTTCCAGAAGATAAAGAGATTTGCTGAGAGATATTGGAGTTGTTTCACGACTCTCCACCGGCTGGACACCCTGGACATGCTAAAACCTTAGAGCTTATTTCCAGAAATTATTGGTGGCCTTCAATGACAAAGTATGTTCATGATTACGTAGATGGCTGTGACAGATGCAGACAAACAAAGATTCATCCAATGCAACCACATGGTCCGCTTAAACCAAATGAAATACCAGTGGGACCTTGGCAATCAATCACTTGTGATTTGATAGTAGATTTGCCTAAAAGCGAAGGGTTTGATAGTATTTTCATTGTTGTTGATCGATACACCAAACAAATGCATCTTATGCCTACAAAAAAGGAAGTTGACGCTCGAGGAATCGCGAAACTTTTCTTAGATAACATATGCAAACACCATGGAACTCCGAAACAGGTGATATCGGACAGAGGAACACAATTCATCTCAAAGTTTATGGGACAGGTGTCGAAACACCTAGGCATAAAATGGAACATGTCAATGGCTTATCATCCTCAGACAGACAGACAAACGGAAAGGATAAACCAAGAAGTAGAGCAATATCTGAGAATGTTCACATCTTACCGCCAGAATGATTGGGTAGACTGGCTTTCAATAGCAGAATTCGCTCACAATAATTCTGTCACTGTAACTGGTCACAGTCCATTCAGAGTACTCTACGGATACGACCCAGAGTTTACTTTTTCACCGATTTCCGATTCTAAAGTACCTGCAGCTGATGAATGAGTGGATGTAATGAGAGAGGCAAAGGAGGATGTGGAGAGTATGCTGTGGATGGCGAATGAGTGGATGAAAAGATTTTATGATAAAGGAGTCAAAGATGCACCACAGTTTGAAAAGGGAGACATGGTCTGGCTTAATGCCAAAAATATCCATCAGAAAAGACCAAATAAGAAACTCTCTGATTGATGACTCGGTCCGTTCAAAGTACTAGAAAAAACGGGCGACATAAATTACCGCCTAGAGTTACCGGTGAAATATCAGATCCATCCAGTATTTCATGTGGAATTACTTACCTGCCATACTCCGTCGACCCTAGTCCAAAGACCTCCACATCACTGCCCGCTGTCTTCTTAGATAGATGATCTATAGATAAACACCTACAAAATCAAAAATCTCCACGGTCAGCGATTCAGACAAATACCAATGACTGATAACGTGGTTGTTCGTGGGTGGCTGTTTACACTTCCCCAAGCTATGTTCAGACAAAAGTACTTCCTGTGAGGTCAGTAGCAATACCAGTCAATCCAACAGTATGGATGCAATAGAAAATAAAATAAACAGAATATAGTCAGCCCAACGGTATGGTGATGACAAACAGAAATTGATTCACTCCAACGGTATGGCAGTGTTTAGAGAACAGAGAAAAGTCAGCCCAACAGTATGGTACTGATAAAAGAAAGAAATAGATTGATAAGAGAAACCCTTCCTTCAGTAACAATGCTTCTTGTAATAAATTTACTACAGAAAGTCGTGCGAAATTATAGCAATCACCCCCTCAGCACAAACAGGTAGAATCAAAGGTCAGGACTAATCAGTGATCAGTAGAACTCTTAGTTCACTATTGAACCTGCTGCCAAGGAACTCACGATGAGTATTAAACAGAATCAGGAACGGACGTCCTTGGATTTCAGTACCAAGTCCCCTATTCAACAACTAAAGTCTAGCAGACAAAGAAAACCCTGGCTCAGTATCACTACTCAGATGAGTGAGGTCAAGCGTCACTATCAACTTCTGAAGTCTTCCCACTAAGCCGGTGCTTAGATGGACGTAAAGACAACACAAAGATCTTGAAACAAATTCAGACAATAACACTGAGACGTGAACGAACTGAACAGAAAAAGAGACAAATGAAAAGAAACAAACAAACAAAGAAACAGAAAAAGAAAGAGAGAAAGAAGAAAGAAAAGAAAAGAAAGAGACTAGAGGTTCACCAGTAGAAAATCAAAGAAAAAGTTTGCTCACTGTTGAGCACAGTGAGCTCAAGATATTTCACAGTTGTTGATGATGAGCTAAAGGTATTGCTGGATGTTGCTTACAATGACCTCTCAGTTAGTTGCTTAACAGCTCTTGTCACTGTTGTTGATACTGATCACACTTCACACTCAAATTTATTTTGTGGGGCTTAAAAGTTCCCTGTATGCATATTTTTATTGGCAAAAAGTGGGGTCTTATATAGATAAATTAGGGTGGCTGTGCTACTATTTCCCACGTTCTAAGGGAAATAGGCTTAGTCAGATTGTACCAATACTATTGTACTGTTAGTCATGTGCTTTATAATTTGTGTCATCAAGCTTTAGTCATCTCAAAAGGTTGCTTTGTCATGATTTGGTTTAGGGTCATAGGTCACCTGACTGTTAGAGTCATATAACTTAGTATCATGTGACAAATATTAAGTAACAGACTGATTATGTTATTTGTTGGTGTCTTGTTATGATGTTACTTTATTGACCGTAGAAATGACGCGAGCCATGTATTTAGAGTGTTAAGAAAGTTCCCACAAGGCAAATTATGCAAGAACTATTTTACACTGTTACTTGACATGTGTGGGATTCAGTCTGAGCCATTGTTATTGCTGACTAAGCAGAATTTACCGCAAAATTAAATATACAAGAATATTCAGCCTATCTGAGTCTGTCTGAGAAATGAAAATACTATCTGAACTGCAGTCTGAACCATAAAGTAAAGGAAGATTGTTCATAATGATTTCTAGGGTATCGGGCTCGTGAGAGAGCATTAGTCATCCATGCACCGAACCGGTTTGGTGCAGGTCACCGCCGCCAGAGATCGTATCAGAAGGCAATTCTGAATGGATAGTGCGAAAAGTCCTAGACTCGAGACTGCATAGATCCAAACTCCAATACCTAGTAGAATGGGAAGGATATCCAATTGAAGAAGCAACATGGGAACCTGAGGAAAACATAGAGAATGCACGGTTGAAAGTTCAAGAATTTCACTGGCAAAATCCGAAGGCATTGAATCCCCGCAAAATCAACAAGTCGGTGTTTGAAACCAAAGAGTTTTTGGAATGGCATAGAAATTTTATTTGTCCCAATGTCTTTCATGATGACGCTCAACCTAGAGAGGGGGTAATGTCATGAGTTCCAAATACGAATCATTATACCTTTCTAAATTTGAAGTCCTTTAAGCACACAAGTATAGCACCTGTACCTAAAGATAAACCTAAGAATGTATTTATAGTCGAGGAAGCGCCTACAGCGTCTATTGTAGAATTACCGAACTCCCCTATACCTAAATCATGTGAATTAACAGAAGAAGATGACATCATGCCATGTGACACTCTTGGAATGTTCCAGAGTCTTACTGCGGCTGCAACACATGTTATGACATCATAGCTATATATAGAATTGTATGTTACCTTTAATTATTCTCATTGGTTAGTTAGTTCATACTCAGTTTCAATCTCCGTTTCAATATGTGTATATAGGTAGTATGTCGTAGTTAGTAGTTCTTTAGTTCAAACCTCTTGTATCTCCAAGTGAGCAATCCAAGACATACCTGCTGCCTTATCCTCATTGTGATCTTTCTGTGTTTGAGTCCTAGTCTCTGCCCTGCATTAATTCATTTAAGGGGTTGTGACACATGTCAGTTCTGACCGTTGGCAGCTCTGAACCCAATAGTGGGTTTATGTCTGATGAACCAGATGTTTCAGAAGGCTTTGATGAGCTCGATTGTAACAAGTGGCCATTGTCAGATTTAAACAGCGCTGCTGATGAAGTGCCCTCAAAGCGAAAGGCATTGGTGATGAGTGGAGAAAGGTAGGGTAAGAGTAGTATTACAGGTCTCAAAATGGGCCCACAACCTGGGATGTCCAAACCTGCCACCACTAAGGCCCCAAAGAATCCAGTGAAGAGACGAAAGAAAGATGAATTTGCCGAGATTGCACAAGCAGAGGAAGTGACTAGACAGAAAGAGCTTGAAGTGGCCAAGGTGAGAATAAAGAAGGACACTGTACAGGCAAAAGCAAAGTTGGCAAAGCTTGAGTTGGAGAAGGAAAAGTTGGCCTATGCAAGGGAGTGGCGACAAGAGAAGATGAGAATGTGCCTTACTACTATGGAAGGAACGAGCCAACATCATGGATTCCCCGAATTCAACATGCACAATACCTTTCCCAGTCCTTCGAGCAGTTCTCACCCACACTTGCCATATCCACCAACTTCTGCATATTATCAGACACCCTCATCACCTGCCGCTGAGTCTTATGCAAGTGAAAACACAGCTAACACAGCTTCCAGGTCATTTGATGCATCATCCATCATTTTCCCATCAGATTAATCTCATTCCAAGTACTTAGTTCAAATCCTGTGCTCGACTACATAAAAACTAAATGTCCCCATCTTCTTCTAAGTCTTGCTGCCTTTGTTTGTAATCCTTTGCTCTGAACAAACAATGTTTCAACTGCTCGCGTCGGGCTTTGGCTTTGCAGAGACATAACCCACTGGCTGGGCCTTGCAAGACACTAGGAAGGTTTGAATGACTGTCGGAATCGGAGTCTGATGAAAGGCCTTGCACTATGAAAGGATCTTCACTATCAGAATTGTCCCTTTCGCGCTCATCAGCCTTGCATTGCATTGCAAATGCATGAAGGCCAACACACTGCAGTAATCCAGTATGTAGCAAACTGGTGAGATTTCTTGTCCTTGATTCTTACCTGAAGACCTTTTAGCGACTGAAAATGTCCCTTCAGAAACCCAATAGTGTGCTCTGACCAAATCCGCACCATCGACACATGATTATTGAAAATTTCATTCTGCACAAGGTCTTTCTCGGGTTTCTTGTACAGAGCAATGATCCATGTCTGTAACTGACTGATGTAAGTTTCTGCTGTACACCACATGAACAGACAACTTACCAGATATGCAGAGTCTGCCCAGACAAATTCTCTGTCATCAAGCAGGGTCTCGTGCTCCTGGGCAAGATGGGTCTCATCCCATGCTGTTGAATCATGAGTACTTCCCATGTGGCCATAGCTGAAGTCGATGATGCGAAGATTGGGTAGCGAAATAACCTGAAGTATTTTAGCTTTCAATTTTCATGGACAAGATTGACAAATACCTGTATGTTAAGGGAGTAGTTGCATTTTCGATCGAAGTTACTTTCTCCATACCAATGAGGCCTGATCGTATAATGGAATGAGTGTGCCATCAACAAGACACCAACCATCTCGCCATGCTTTATGCGAGTGCATTTCAACCCACAACTTTGCATCCTCTTTCTCTTCAGCAGTCGGGAAACGCACAGCCTCTTCCATGAAGGAACGACGCAATATGGCAGTCATGACTCGCTTCGTAATTAGTGACATGGAGCCATGGCCCCCTCCTGCCCATTGTGCAACTGGGGATTGACCAGCTGCATTACCATTATGACCGAACTGGAAAAGAGTGATGGCGAGCTGCTCTTTGACTGACTGCTGAGGATTATTTGAATTATTGAAGAATACTGCATTGTCCTATATCTTTGCAACAATTTGATCGAAGGTATGAGGATTTATGCAGAGAATTTCACGGAATTCAGCTGGTCATTCGAATTTCAGGACCTCAAGAACATGCGGAAGGTGAGAGGGGGCTTTGGGTATGGGCTTGTTGCATGGGGCATCATAACAACATGCATATATGTCCTCATAGGTGCGTCGAACATGGTGGGATAAACGAGTAGTATAGTATACTTCAAGTCCAACTTCTTCCTCGTTGTCAGCATCATTTGCCAAATCTGAGTCTAGTTCAAACTCATCACTGGAAGTTGAGTTACCACTGTTGTCTTCATCTTCAGAGGTGGAGCTTTCGGATATGGAGGTGCCTGAGTCAGTGTTTGAGTCAGACAATGAGAATGATGGTAGGCTTTCTGACTTGGAGCTTGACGATTGATATGGTATGGTAGAGGGGGAGCTTGATGAGATCCTGACACAGCTAGCAAAGTATGCCAGCTTCGCGCAGCATGATGTCGAGCATGTTTAAATTGAGCAAGGCGAATACCTGATAAAGGTGCTGAGTAAGTTTTCAACCTGTCACTGTCTAGGTATGAAATGGGGCATTATTGCCAGTGTATTTGAAGCCTGAGATGGAGAACAGTAGTAGACAAGCTGAATATAATTACATAATAAATATATGTTCAAAGGGAGCAGAATTGTATAGTTGAATCAGGGGTGGTCAAAGTTGACTACGATTCAAGGACAATCTAAAATTTTGAATCGACCTCTGAATCGTATTTTGGATCGAGCGTAAATCGCCAACTCTGACTTCCCCTAATGCCACCCAGAAAATTAAGGCCTTCTGATTCATTTTAAGATTCATGTGGGAAATAGTGAAGGTGTGATTTCATAGAATAAAAATAACAATGTTGTCATTGGTAGGTTTTAAACCTGCACAGTTCAAGAGAAACAGATTTTGACTCTGTGGCAGTGCATCCAATTGGTCTTATAGCTAAGCAGTTGATACAACAGAATCTAAATCTGTTTGTGTGGATTCAAAACCTGCTAAAGACAAAATCTACAAGTGAACATCAGAGTCAAAATCTGTTTCTCTTGGACTGCGCAGGTTTGAAACCTGCCAATGATAACATTTTCATTTTATGAAAAAATCAGACCTTGACATTTCCTCATGAATCATGTATGTGTTTTTCCTGGATGAACATATCTTGACATTGACTCATGTGTACTTTCATGTTGTAGCTCATGCTCCCAAACATCTGCTTTATATGATGTTTGTGAATGCACTTTTCTTTGTCCAAGAACATCTCTGAGCTCCATATCACATGGCTCCACATCCTGAGCACAAATGCCTCAAATCATGCTTTAGGGTTTCTATAGCTTTCATCCCACTGCCATGTGGATACATATGTGTGTTCCATATTTGATCCACAAGGCTTTGTTGATGCATGTCGATGAGCGTCTTGATGATCGATTGCAGTAAAACCAGGTCTTATGGCTTCATTACAATCTCCATTAAACATTCTTTTAGAATAGGATTGCAAAAACTGAGACCAGTGTCAAGTACTAAAGATGAGAAAGGCTCGAATACAAGGTGGGCAGAAGCAAGAAGCATGCATCATCTCACCTAATTTGCTCATAGACTAAACTCTAGGTTAGCCTTGTGCCTCAGCTATCAGCTGGCAAAACAAAAAAATTCTGCTGTAGCAGACTCATATCATTGTAGGCTCATAGGATCCATATTTACAACTCACTTTCAGGCTTAGTTTATACACTATTATTCTCCCAACAGATTTTGACTCTGTTTCAATGTTTACTTGGCTAAGACCAGTGGGATGGAGCTCTCAGGAAAGTATGCATGAGTCAATGTCAAGGCGTAATTTCATAGAATAAAAAATGTTATCATTGGCAGGTTTAAAACTCACAAAGTTCAAGAAAAACAGATTTTGACTCTGATGACAACTTGATCTTGACTAAGACCAATAAAGATGAGTGTCTGGGATACCATCTATCAGCAAGTATTCAAGGAATGTTCTAATAGAAAAAATGCGACATTCAACAGGTTTCAAACCTGTTGCACTTCAATAGAAACAGATTTTGATTCTGTTATGACAACCACTTTGCTAGACACAACTCTGATCAGCTTGCAAGCAAACTGACAATGAGCATATGTTAAGGTGTGTTTTCATAAAAAAATAAATTTTATCATTGACAGGTTTCAAACCTGCACAGTCCAAGAGAAACTGATTTTGACTCTTGACAATATCATTTTTAGCAGGTTTTGAACCCACACAGACAGATTTAGATGCTGTTGTATCAACTGCTTGGTCAAGAGAAACTGATTTTGACTCTGATAATCACTTGGCAATATCATTTTTAGCAGGTTTTGAACCCACACAGACAGATTTAGATTCTGTTGTATCAACTGCTTGGCTAAGACTAGTGGGATTCACTTCCAATGAACTCATTCAGAAGTGAATTCTCGAGGCACATTTTATCTGCATTTTGTCAGTTCTTTCAATAGCATGGTCACTGTTGATTCTTTTATTCTGCTTTTTTCCTCTAGAAAATCACCAGAGGCAAATGCAAGTATTTTTGATGCAAAGTTCAATATATGACCAAAGTCTTGATGCAAACTTGGAATGATAAGTACAAGAGCAATTCAATTTTATCCAAAGGTCTTGACTTGGTTGAAGAAGAAGAGCAGATTACACATCAAACTTTCAAGTTCAATCCTAATGACCTGGGAAATGAGGAAGAGTACACATCTGTAAAGACTGAGATTCAAAAGAGCTATCCAGTGATTATTCACTTATGTGTAAGGTTGAAGTGCACTGTATTTGAGATCTTTTATCATCATGCTCTGCTCCTCTCACTTTTTGAAAGTGCTGTATTGCAGTCTGTATTTAATTCATCTGTTCAGCTGAGGGAAAACATTGCGAGTGACAGAGAATGGTGGACTTGCCTTGCCTTGCAGATTCACTTCTGAATGTTTTCTTTCAAGATGAATCTAACCAGTGTTAGTCAAACAGTTGCTGCAACAGAATCCAAATCTGTTTCAAATCTGTGCATGTGGGTTCAAAACCTGCTAAAGATGAAATCACTAGTGATTATCAGAGTCAAAATATGTTTCTCTTGGAATGTGCAGGTTTGAAACCTGCCAATGATAAAATTCGTTTTTTTTATAAAACCGCACCTTGACACATGCTCATGGTCGATTTGCTTACAAGCTCATCAGAGTTATGTAAGTCACTTCTGAATGAGTTCATTGGAAGTGAATCTCACTAGTCTTAGCCAAGCAGTTGATACAACAGAATCTAAATCTGTCTGTGTGGGTTCAAAACCTGCTAAAAATGATATTGCCAAGTGATTATCAGAGTCAAAATCAGTTTCTCTTGAACTGTGCAGGTTTGAAACCTGTCAATGATAAAATTTATTTTTTTATGAAAACACACCTTAACATATGCTCATTGTCAGTTTGCTTGCAAGCTGATCAGAGTTGTGTCTAGCAAAGTGGTTGTCATAACAGAATCAAAATCTGTTTCTATTGAAGTGCAACAGGTTTGAAACCTGTTGAATGTCGCATTTTTTCTATATGAAATGGTCTTAGCCATGAATTTCACCACAATGAATTCAAAATCTGTTCTAATCAAGGCCTACAGGTTTGAAACCTGTCAAATGATATATTTTTTCTGTCTGTTTGATCTTTTTTAATGAATAAAGGCTTGGGTGGTGAGCATGCAGTGGGGGAGATCATTAGATCTAAATCGGTAACATGAGATCACTGATAAAACAATGATTGTGTCTTGAACACCTTAAAGCAATTGTTGGTTTAGATTCAGATTTAGAG